TAGGGCTAGTACATACAATGTGTGTACATTGTGTGGTCACAATGCGACCCAAACGTCGTAAGGTCAGAGCGACTCCACTTGACGGTCATGCTATCGGGAGAAGCAATACTTTAAAGGTTCTGAAGGACGTTACTGGTCTCGAACCCGCTGACATTAGTCAGAAAGGTGAAGATATCGTGCTCTTCTTGTCATGTGAAGAGGAGCTAGAAAAACTCCTCACTTACGATGCCATTCTTCGCAAAGAGCACTACCTACATCCTCACTTCCCACGTCAGTTCCTGGCCGGAAGAACTGTTTTTACCAGCAGCACCAGCCGGTGGATCACTGAGCGACCTCAACATCATATCATGGACAATATCGAGGACGAAAATCCAAACCTGTCGGTATTCAACCTAGAGTTCTGCAACACCGACAAAACATCAATGAAGATTACGTTCACCACCATAGCTGCGGCCACCCAGGCTGCCACACAAGGATTCTACTGCTTCGGCTTAAAAATACCACCCCACCAAATAAAAAAGGAACAATACCATGAGTATCCAACAGTGCTTTAAGTGCTACGAGCTCTCCCACCCGACCAACAAGTGTCAGTACCCTGTCCAGAAGTGCAGCCTGTGGCCACTGGACCATCACAACTCCGTATGCAAGGCAACAGTCCATCGCTGCTTGCTCTGTGATGGCAATCACCCCGCAATTTCCTACCGCTGCCCCCGCAGACAGGAAATCATCAAGGCCCAGGTTGAAGCCAAGAGAAACAACTCTTCTACCTCCTCGACCAGAGCCCCAAGCGTTTAACACACCACCTTAGCTCTCACTAATCGACCAGAAGACTTTCCAGTCTTACCAACATGTGGCTCCTCCCAGCAGGCGACACAACCTTCTCATTGGGGACCCAAGGTCCCACAGGCTCCTTCACAGCCCCCTACATCACGTGCAGGCATTATCCCTGGTCTTATTAGACTTGCGGAAAGGCTAGCAGGACCAGACAACCAGCTCTTTGCCAGTGAACTAAACGCATTATACATAGACAATGACCTGGTCCCCATCATAGCCACTAGCGCAAATCTCACTGCCTCCTCTACCACTCCGGAGACTACCACCAGGACGACTATGCGGTCAACTTCAACACCGACTCCAGAACCGCCCATGACCCGGGCGACACAGAGGTAATTCCCTCTCCAGCTCCCAACACTCCTACCATCACTATCTCAGCAGCTGCGCTAGCAGACGTGCTGTCTACAAACGATAACAGCACCACCAGCGCTCCTGAAATAGCTACAACCACCAATCAACGACACCTAAGCCTACCTAAGGCTGCGAGGCGAAAGACAAAAACGCCCACTACGGAGGTTACGGACTCCTCAGACGAGGAAATCATAGTAGGAGCTCCACCACCGCATCACAAGTACGACACCTACACGGTTCAAGACTTCCTCATGGAGGCCACGTCACCAAACTCCAATGACAGCACTGCTCAGCCAAAGTCGCAGGCAAAGAAAAAATGGAAAACCTAGAGGTCTGCACTAATCCCACCAGCTCCATAACTGGTATAGCCAGCCCTCCAGGCTGAAAACCATCATGAAGACCCTCATCCATCGCCAGATCTCTAGTATCAGCCACTGATACAGATAATGGCTCCAAAGAGCCTCCACTTACGGGCTCACCATAGCCTGTGCTACTGGAACTTATTGTTCTGAGTAGCGAATCTTAAACAACAACAACAACCCACATACACTAAATAATGTTGTGAATAATGAATTAAAAAAAGTCCACTTATGGATGTCAACGAACAAACTAACATTAAACATCGAAAAGACTTACTACATCTTATTTGGAAGCAAATCATCAAATGCAATTCAGCTACAGATAGACAACATTAACATCAGGAATAAAAATGATGGCAAGTTTCTTGGCCTATTCCTAGACAAGAGACTCAACTTCAGCACCCACATTCAACACATAACTAAGAAAGTCTCTAAGACAGTTGGTATACTCTCCAAAATCAGATATTATGTTCCTAACTCTGCTCTCCTCTCACTATATTATGCACTAATCTACCCCTATCTTAATTATGGTATCTGTGCATGGGGGTCTACCACTGCAAACCACCTTAAGCCCATCATCACACAGCAAAAATCTGCTATCAGAATAATAACTAACTCTGCTTTCAGACAACACTCAGCTACCTTGTTTAAATCCCTAAACTTGCTAAATATTAACTCCCTCCACACATTCTCTTGTGTCAACTACATTTACAAAACCCTGTTCTTAAATGCAAACCATGCTCTGAAACTCTCCCTGGACAGATGTAATAGGACCCATTATCACCACACCAGAAATAAATATTTCTTTGATATCCCCAGGGTCAAACTTAATCTGTGTAAAAACACTATGCAAATTAAGGGACCTAGTCTATGGAACTCACTCCCTAGTGAATTGAAAAACTGTACAACTTTTGCCTTATTTAAAAGCAAAACCAAAAAGTACCTAATTTCATCTTCTTAGTTTCCTACACTGAGCTTTAAATTTGCTCTGTACCTAGTGTTACCCAATCTCCTAATTTTAATGTAGTATCAAACAACCTTATCATTGTGTTCATTGCTGTCTTCTTTTATGTGCTATCCATATGCTGTATTGAGACTACCAATTTTTGTCAACTACCATTCAAGCTGTCATTGCAATCAATCTTATATTGTTTCTGTTGTATTGTGCCTACCAATTTTTGTCAACTACCATTCAAGCTGTCATTGCAATCAATCTTAGCTACCAATGTGCTTTAATATACTGTACCTACAATTTTCTCTCATCTTATTTTTTTCATTCCACGTAACTGTTATCATTTTTTTGTCTATAAATTTTGCAAGTATTTACCTCCTTAAAATTTTCTTAGATTAAGGACCTGCCCGAAACGCTGCGCGTATTAGTGGCTTTACAAGACTGTAATTACCATATTATGTATCCTCACATTCCCAATGTACATTCTTGTATATGCATAAATAAATAAATAAACAACAACACTGCTCTTTTTCGGGTTCACAATAGCCCGTGCTACATGGACACTTTGTTCTGAGTAGCTAAATCTGAAACAACAACAACACTGCTCTACCTTTGAAAGCACTACAATTACCAGTGGTTGATTGTTCAATAAATCCCTTAACTATATGTTTAACAAATATCTCGCCCTGTCCATGGAGGACAGCAGAAAATGTATATATGTTGATTAGCATTGTAAATGTGTGGCCATGTCTGTGGTAGAAAATAATAATAATAATAATAAATGGTCTACCAGACCTACCACTTCAAAATAGTAATAGAAGGTCTTCCAATGAAAAAGGCTGCATATGATAAAACAATCCTAAGGAGCATCATAGAAAAGCAAATGAGCAGCATTGCAGTACCAGGAGCCTCCCACATCTTCACAGATGGATCGGGTGGACACAATATGAGAGTGCTGGCACTGCTCTTTGCACGGACAACGAACAGGCATATTGGAGACCGGGAGGACCAGTATAATCAACCCAAACTGAGCTGTTTACTGTTTACTGATAAACAGTAAACAGTACTTTCTTCATTCATTCATTCAAAGATCCAACAGTAAGGTAAACAGTAAACAGTACTTTCTTCATTCATTCATTCTAAGATCTTTCATTCATTCATTCTTTCTAAGATCAGATATTATGTATCCCGCCCTGCCCTGGTGACTCTCTATTATAAAAAAAAAAAAAAAAATATTTATTTAGGTAAGGTACATACATACAATAAATTTTTACAAAGATTGGTTGACTTATAGGTTTTAGGACTAATATAAATAGCCAAAGTTAGATAACAAAAAATTATGCAAATATATCATGTTTATTACTATTATAAAATCAATAAATGAAATTAGGAAAAAAGCTCGAAATAGATTTGTAGAAAGATAAGCTCTACATATAAGGTGTAAGTTTCATGTAAATTGAATAAAAAATGAAAGTTAAGTCTGGGATGCTCCTGGAGGCAGGTTCGAATCCTCGTCACGGCCCTTGTGGATTTGTTCATTAAAAATGAAAGAGTTATAGGAACGTTTATGTTACATGAAAATAAATAAGTAAAAAAAAAGTCTAAGGTGCTGCCATCTATTATTTCTTGTCTCAAGATACATACTTGAACTTGCAAATCGTTACATCATTATGTAACTATTGAAATAATTACTTTGTTACTTTTGTTAATTTGTTACTTCCTATTATGTTCTTTATGCAAGTTACTTAGTTATTATATTAGTTATCATATCTGTTATGAAACTATATTACTTAAGTAATTAAATATAAAAGTAAAACTTAATTACTTAAGTTGTACCTGTAACAAGTAAAAGTTAACTACTTAAGTTGTACTTGTAACAAGTAAAAGTAAATTACTTAAGTTGTACTTGTAGCAAGTAAAACTTAATTACTTAAGTTCTACTTGTAGCAAGTAAAACTTAATTACTTAAGTTGTACTTGTAACAAGTAAAACTAAATTACTTAAGTTGTACTTGTAACTTTAATGTAAGTTTTCTGCAAATTACTTTGTTTTTTAGATATATACAAGAGTTGTTACATTCTTGTAGAGCCACTAGTACGCGTAGCGTTTCGGGCAGGTCCCTGGAATACGATCCCCGCCGCGAAGAATCGTTGTTACAACCAAGTACACATTTCACTGTTGAGTTAAACAGAGGCTACAGTTAAGGATTTGCGCCCAGTAAATCCTCCCCGGCCAGGGTACGAACCCATGACATACTTAGTCACTTTATACAATTTACCATTTTGTATATGTACTATATACTATGAATTAATTATTATTAAAAGTCCCCAGATCAGGCGTGTTTCCCTTAAGCTCAGTAAATAAATATATAAATAAATAATAGTATGCAGTTAGTTCTCTTATAAGCTCCGTTTTCTATGAGTAGATTAGCTTGCGCAGTGGTGGTGTAGCCAGGTGTATAATACACTAACTGGTATCTGGAGAGAGAGAGAGAAACTCAAATCATGCAACTATTTTCACGCAGTCTTGGCTAGGATAGAGTGCGTGGCGCAGGCTTCATGTATGCTAGCATTGGTAGTAAGTTGAGTCGGAATCTCCTTGCACCACTTGCGTTCAGTTTTCGAACGATGAGCGTGCAAGCACAAGACATGCTCTTCAGACAAGTAAGTTTAGTGTTGTGTATTTGATAATTGAGTTGTTGCAATTATTTGTACGTCCAGAGCTTGTATTGTTTTAGTTACTGCATTTGCAGGGTGTTCTTGGGCGGAATGAACTTGAGCTCTTTGTTCAAGTTCATCCCTGAATCAACTTGTGTACAGCTACCCCGAGTCTTTGAGCTCTGCCATATTTACCTAAAGGAAACCGTGTCTAAATAGTTGCCTCGATTGGAACAAATGATATGCTACCTCATTAATATTGGCGTCACACAACGTAACATACTTGGTTATCTTGAGGTTATCTTGAGATGATTTCGGGGCTTTTTAGTGTCCCCGCGGCCCGGTCCTCGACCAGGCCTCCACCCCCAGGAAGCAGCCCGTGACAGCTGACTAACACCCAGGTACCTATTTTACTGCTAGGTAACAGGGGCATAGGGTGAAAGAAACTCTGCCCATTGTTTCTCGCCGGCGCCCGGGATCGAACCGGGGACCATAGGATCACAAGGTGCACACACACTCTACCTGGACCAGTCTCTCGGCCCTCTATAGGCATAATGCCAATTTACATTGCTTCTGGCATTTGTGTAAAAGCATAATAAATATATTTGACGCATTTTGTGCGTGCACTGATGTCACTGATGTTAAGAATCCCGACATAATTGGGATCAGTGAAATCGAACTTTTCTCTTACAGCTTGTGACAATTAAGGGCCCAGCCAAGGTAAAAGGATTTTAGACTTTGTGATATCAGAAGAGAGCATTATTGATCATCAGATCAAGGTAAGGGAAGAGCTCGCCCCTTCGTGACCACTATATCCTAAGATGGAATTCAATTATAGAAACCAATGTGAAGGTCCATGGCGATGACTTTCTAGAATGCTTACGAGGAGGCCTCATAAAATGAGAACAATGCCATTTGTTTTCCTGTAGAGTTAATAGGAAATAGACATGGAAGCATCATGGAAAGTTTTACAAAATTCTTCAATGAACTTGTTCAAAAATGTGCCAAGAAGGAATTGAAAGCAAGATGGATGACAAAAGCAGTAAAAGAAAAACTAAAAAAAGTAGAATCTCTCAGGATGTATCACTCCAAGTTCAAGTTCAAGTAAGTTTATTGAGATAAGAAAGACTAAAGGCTATTTCTACCCCCCCCCCCCCATTTCAATCCACCATGAAAAACAGATTAAAATACAGAACGGCATTAAACACAGGAACTAGGAGATCGGATAAACCGAAAGAAATTATGAAAGAAACCTTGTTGAAAACATGAAAACCACAAATCTGTTTATGCCTATAAAAGAAGTAAAACCAAGACAGATTTGCTAGAACCCTTAAATGATGAGACCAACTGTGTTAAATTTAATGATAACACTGAATAGATTAGACTACCTCTTAATACCTACACAAATGTTTGAAGCAGGTAAAAGAGAACTAATTAAGGGATATTCCCTCATCGTGCGAAACAATCTGGAAGATCGACAAATTAAAAAAATATAATGATCCCAAATGTGGTTGGAATTCGATAAAAAAAAAGCAAAGGAACGGGCTGAAGATTAATAAACTGTAATTGTCGGCAGCATTTTTGTAGGGATAGGGTGAATACTCTGAGATAGTATCACAAAATGTCGGAATTCCCGTGATATAACCACAGTGAGGAACGTAAACTGTTTTGTCGCTATGGACTTTCCAAGCACGACCCAAGCAGGAAATGATTGGGCACTAATCGCCGGAACCCGATATCCTAAACTATTTCCAATACGCAGGTTGTTAATTAGCCTACAATTTTGTATACAACTTGGTTGCATTCAAGTATATTAAAGTGATTGATTACAGATAATAGACGCATTTAGTTAAAATTATCCATGCACAGTTCTTCATCATAGATGGACCCATTGAACGGTGGAGAAGGCTTCCGCTGGCACATAGGTTTAGGTAGGATCTATTATTATTTCGATTAAACGGTAAATTTAAAGTTGCTGTATTGACTAGTAATCTGGTAAAACATTTTATCAGTAAGCAGTATAAATTTATAGACAGCGTATAGCTTATTACAGCAGGAAAATTGGCATTTATATATATTTTAAATTAGAGCATGTCATTTTGGACATTTACACATTTATTGAGCATTACTAATGTGATGTAAATGTGTAATATCTCCCATCACATTAAATTGCACAATGATGTGGACTGTGAGAATACTATATTTTCCTGCCATAAGGAAATAATAGTCTTAACAATTGTTAGCAAATGTTACTTAATATCCACCCTAACCTTCAACACGCTGCTGCGTATAAGGTTGACTGGAAAATGCGGTCGGGTAACTCCAGCAAGGACGTATGTGTGCACACTTTCACTCGGTTTCTCTCTAGATTCTGTCTTGGTCCTCGCATAAGTAAATTGGTGCCATACTCAATGGGCAGCGGAACTGTGAGCAAACTAACCACTTTTGTTTAAATAAACTGATAGACTGGATATAAATAAACACGGCAGTCGTTGGGACTTTAACAAACTTTAGCCAGAGAAAAGGAGACAGACAGTACATGAAAATAAATAGCGTATTTTAAAGTTACTGGCAGTTATGTGACGTCAGGCGGCATGTGGGTCACTGACACCGCTGTGTTGCTCATAATATTGCTGCGCGTACTCTCCTAATTGTACTTGTGGGAGTTGAGCTGCGTTTTTGGTTCCGCCTCTCAACTGGAGTAGCCTCGTGTCTCGGAATGATATCTCACACATCTCTTTTCATTAGATACAAGTACAAGTATTTTGTACGTGTTCTAGGTACGAGTATTTCCTTGCATTTCCTGAGCTCATTTTCATTATTAGTCTCCATTTATGCCCTCTAATAGTATTTTCTTATAACACGAGTAGGCTGTCTTTGTCTACCTTCTCTTCTACTCGGCTCCTACAGTCCTTTCAAGCTGTGAGATGGAGTTCTTAACTTATTATCGTGGTTTAGTCCTCTTAAATCAAATAAGCTTTGATGCAAATGTAATTTTTTTCATGTTTCGCTTTGTGCTTCAAAAGGTGCGTATTCTTATACTGATCTGGCGTAGGTTGTGCATATCATTTTGAAAGTTCGTTGCAAGCGCCGTTCTCATATTTGCTAACTACCCATATGCTGCAGATGTTATCCTGTTTTGTTCTAATATTACTACTGTAATTAAATACAAAAATCCCCTGTAGTATTTCTCTCGTTCGGATTCCTTTAATTACCTTTCCCTTATAATGTAGTTTTCATCTGGTCCCTCTGTCACATTTGTTTTCATCTTCATTACCATATATACTTGTTTGGTTTGACTTGATTCTCACAGACATTGGTTTACCCAGTCGTAGTTTGTCGAAGCCTTACAGATTATGCAGATTATATCGTACATAAAAGATTCGCCAACATATTTTTATTACTAACCCTACCCCAGCCTATAACAACTCAACGCAACTCGATCCAATTCAACCTAATTTAGCCTTATACTAACCTATATATATATATATGGTTAAAACTAACCATATATAGGTTAGTTTTAAATATTAGAAAACGAGCAGTATATAAAATGCATATCAAGATACTCTTTAACACTATATCTGTATGCCCTGGTATCAGTGATTTTTGACTAAATGGTATGAGGTACTTTGAGCCCTGTAACTACTTCATACGCTCACGAATACAGGAGGATATTTTTGTGCTTTACCCAGATTTTGCTAGTGCAGGCTAATAGATTAGATTTGCATTTCATGTTCTCTCCTGATTCCATGTATGACTAACCTTCTTGTGAGATGGGGAATGTTAGATGAACTTGTAGCTAGCTTTTTTTTATCTACACTGTAATCCTTCGTGTTGAATAGGGTAACAGCACATTGCTGTGCATACCTAAACTTAAGATTTTTGTTTAATTTGATCACGTCCATTCCTCCAGCTGGGATACAGTTTTCAGCTAATACCAGCTTCGCGCCGTCAAACAGTCATGTATCTAGCTCACTCCCTGAGATAGGCTGCTCAGAGAAATGGCCTCAGACGGAGCCAGGAACCCCGCATGCAACAATCCTGTAGTCTGACTCCTCTGAGATCCTTTGTTACCCCTTACACTAAATTTTAAGTATACTCAGCAAGTTGAATGACTACCAATCCAGTCAGTTCATAGCCACCCTGTTTACTTTATACAACCGAAGAAGGTCTGGTTAGAAAAATCCGTTTCTAGTTAACACAATAACACTATTACACAAATCATATTGTGTTCCATCACTAAAAATACCATTGCCAACGTTCAGGTCAAGGTTAATTCAGAACAAAATAAAAATCGGCTTAAAAAACATCCCAACATACAAACATAATTAAATCTTTATTCTATAGTCTTTAGTGACAAATTATTCTATAATTATCTAACATTATTTAATTTTATATACATAAAAGATCATAGAGATGGCTTTTCCCATATTGTGTAACGTAGCCATATTGCCGTTACACAATATGGATTTTCCCCATATTGTGTAACTGATAGGTAAGTACAGTTTCTTACTGCACATGGTCGGGTGCGCTCACGTAGTGAAGCCTACTGATGAAGGGTTGACTGGTTGGGGCCTGGAGGGTACCTCTTGATTTATATTCTGTAATCCTCCGTAAAGAATTTTGAAGCAGCACATTATTGTGTACCTTAGCTTAATAACAAACAATAGGAGAGGGTGATGGAAAAAGAGGACGGAGGGTGTCGGTGGTGGGGAAAAGGAGGGTGGGTGTTGTGTTGGTAGGGTTGGAAAGTGGGCCGAGGGTGTTGGTCTACACCTTTTCCTTCTGTACCTCCTCTTCAACATCCTTCAAAAGCCAAAACATGTCGGTGAGGTGCGGTGCGAGAGAAGGAAGTGGGTGGGAGCAGAGTGTTGGGGGGAGGTGAGGGAGGGGTGGCCTGAGTAATGAGTGTTAATAGGGTTGTGAAGGCTACTAAGAGCGCGGAACGCGAGGAGCCGCACGTAGTGTCACCTGGCCCGCAGACGTCATATTGTGCCGTGGTGATGATTATTTTTATTACCACCATATCTACAGCCGTATCAATGCTGCTGCCCTCGACTGTATGAAGGATTAATATTCCATTTTAGCATGAGAAATTTTCTTACAGGATGAATTATAACTGTAGTTGGGGCGGGGTTAAACAACTAATTAAAATTGATGGCTGTGTACTCGGGTTCTGCCACTGCCTGGACGAGCCTCGCCCGAAGACGGGTAGCATCCAGTCCTCATCAACAAAGGCCAGATGCTCGTTAATCTACCCGCCATCCCACCCTCCCCCTACCAATACCCCTGTTTATGAATGAAAACTGTTCACACACGACTCACAAATGATGACCAAACATTTCTCAAATGGTGCTTCGCTGACGCCCACAATGCAGCAGTAAATGCTTCACCCACGTACTTCAAGTGCAAATGATCGCCAACAGATCTTAAACACCTAATCTACACTTAACTACATATAAAACTTTAATATATAATAATATTAATATAGAAAGAACAACAAACCCGTTTTTAATACACAGTATGTTAAAATTGATGAATGCGTCTTGGAGGGGGTGAGGGCCCCCGCTTTAACGAGCTTGGTCTGAGAACGGGTTGTGTATGAAGAGTAATTTTAAGAAACGAAGATAAAATAGGATAAAGAACAAATATAATAACTTATCTGCATAAAAGAAACTATTAAAAGATAATGAATTGAGGTGGAATTCATTGTTGAAAAGGGTCTGTGATATGCGCAGCAGGCCTATTTTGTGTAGCCTAAATCTTGATTGTTAGATGCAAAATAACAATCCTGTTATTTTGCATCTAAATAAAAATGTAGAATACTTGTAGGCTATTCTAAATTTAGAATACCTGTAGGGCCTTGACCACAGCTGGCCCAGCGATTTAAACTGAATTGGCAGGGATGTGATAGGCCTATACGTTAACGTGTCTATAGGCTAGGCCTAGAAGTAAAGCTGGTTGTTGCGTAGTAGTCAGTGCAGATCGCTCATAAATAAATGGTCCCGAGTTCGATTCCTGAGTAGGGCGAGAGGTTTTACCACGATTTCTTGCACCTCGTGCCTCTCTTCACCAATTAATTATTACTGATCATGGACGTAATATGAACGATGCAAGAAAGACAATTATGACATTCGATTGTGATTGTTTTATCAATTTATCAATTTTCATTAATAGTCAATAGAATTCATAAATCTTAATTTTACAAGAATCAAATAACTTAATGATTATACATGTAACTTGTTTAGTATATTTTCATACAATACTAGAGACAGCTAGACGTAGTGATTTGATTTAAATTTATTATTCACCCTATATACCCATCCCGTGGGTGGCAGTGGACCACCATATACCCATCCCGTGGGTGGCAGTGGACCACCATATACCCATCCCGTGGGTGGCAGTGGACCACCATATACCCATCCCGTGGGTGGTAGTGGACCACCATATACCCATCCCGTGGGTGGCAGTGGACCACCATATACCCATCCCGTGGGTGGTAGTGGACCACCATATACCCATCCCGTGGGTGGTAGTGGACCACCATATACCCATCCCGTGGGTGGTAGTGGACCACCATATACCCATCCCGTGGGTGGTAGTGGACCACCATATACCCATCCCGTGGGTGGTAGTGGACCACCATATACCCATCCCGTGGGTGGTAGTGGACCACCATATACCCATCCCGTGGGTGGTAGTGGACCACCATATACCCATCCCGTGGGTGGTAGTGGACCACCATATACCCATCCCGTGGGTGGTAGTGGACCACCATATACCCATCCCGTGGGTGGTAGTGGACCACCATATACCCATCCCGTGGGTGGTAGTAAAAAAGGCTGCTAAACATAAAGCTGTATTTCTCGACTTAGGGACGTAGATTATAGGCCAACTGTCACCATCCAATAACTTTCACATATCCTAAAGAAATAGTTTTCACCAATTGAAGTAATGTTCCGTTGATTACTAATATACTAAGTCATTTCATAGAGCGGATTTTCCTAACTGACGAACAAACGCAAGTCGCCATGACTAGCAATAATCGGCCCTGAAAAAAAAAACCCGGTAACCAAGGGAGCTGAAGATGACCTTGGCTATACCGGACCACACCCGACTGTACTCACCTAATTGTGCTTGCGGGGGTTGAGCTTTGGCTCTTTGGTCCCGCATGGTCTACTGTGTTGGTAGTTTAGTGTACACTTAGTTCATTTAGATGTGTTCCTCATACCCATCCTGTGAGTGGTAGTTTATCTCAAAAGAGTACCAACAATGTCATTATTAGTCTGTTTGATATCATTTACACACAGCTCTTGACAAAAATGAGTTCCCAATTAGACTCTTCATTGACCTGAGAAAGGTCTTTGATACTGTTAACCATAACTACATCGTACTTAAACTTCACCATTATGGAATCCGAGGCCTTGCCCTGAACTATATTCGATCTTAGTGAGACACCAATATGTAGCCATCAATGATGTAACCTTCCCCACTCTACCATTAACTGTAGGAGTGCCGCAGCCTGGTCGAGGACCGGGCCGCGGGGACGCTAAGCCCCGAAGTCATCGCAAGATAATAACTGTGTGTGTGTGTGTATATATATATATATATATATATATATATATATATATATATATATATATATATATATATATATATATATATATATATATATATATAATCTGAAATCTGATTCTGAAACTTAAGTACCTTAAATTATTATTATGCGCTTTATAGTCTTGTAAAAATAGCAACAAAGGATACTAAAAATGTAGGAGGAACATGGTAACTAATGACACACTCCATATCTTATCGTGAGAATTTGATATCTTTCGATAATACCACATTACTAACTCTTATCAGTACGCGTGTATACTTTCCATCAATATGTTTATGTTGAACTTTAACAATTTGGTAATAATGTGAGCAAAATTGCAATGTACAAATTATTTTCAGTGTTGACAACTGACTGGGATACAATTTTCCAGCATGTCTTAACATTTAAAAGACTAAAATGTTCGTAAAACTGCCGACATGGAGTGTAAGCAAGTTCAAGTATGTTTATTGAGATAAGAAAAAAATACATCTCAAAGGGATAGAGGAGCTTAGGCTATTTCTACCCCCTTATGGAGTGTAAGCAATTGACAAGAAGCATCATGCCTAGAAGACTATTTAGCCATAATATGTGGCTCAGTGTCACGTATACACAAGGTGGAGACGCTGGGAACACAGACTTTAAACCAGTTGATGGCCCTTGGTAACACTTGTGATAACTCATGATCAATAGATAAGATCTTGACCCTTAATAGTTCTCATTCATAATTTTAGTAAGACTGGCTCGTTTTCTTACGACTGTATATGTCGTTAGGTTAGGATGAATTAAGTTATCAGGTCGAGTTAGTTCAATAAGACTGGTAGTCCCTAACTTCATAGTTAGAATTGGTAGTCCATAACATCGTCGTCCCTTCACTTTCTAGTGTGTGGTTTGGTCAACATATTTCAGCCAAGTTATTGTGACTCATTACCTGCAACATTGGTAGGTTTTAATATAAGTAAAATACAATTGCGAACTGTCTTGTATGGGAAATTAAATGAATTGAACCTAAACCGGCGAACATCAGCATATATTACAGATATATTTTTAATATAATACAGATATATTTTTAATATATTACAGAATCATCGTCTGATATTGGCAGGTGTTGGGAAGAGTAATTAATTTAATTTTTTTTAATATATTTCCAAGGTTGATGCTATGAAATATTATAATAAATTACAGGTAGAGAGTAAGTTTCCAAGAGGGCAATAAATCTAGCGTTCTTTCTGATGTATTACAAATATGGGGGGTAGAAACAGCCTAAGCCACTATACTAAGCTTCTCTATCCCTTTGAGATGTATTTCTTTCTTTTCTGTTCTCAATAAACATACTTGAACTTGAATTACAAATATATGCGTGAAGGCAAATATGCGCAAGGCAAATATTCCATGTGGATATGGATAGACACTTGAAAGTCTATTCAAATTGCATAGTTCAATCGGTTTGTCCTGGTGTTGACACTATGTAATCATCTGTGTTCTATATGTTTAGTGACTACAAGTTCAAATCTTTCAGTGCCATTAAAATTCTCAAGTTACGCTTCTCTGAACCAAACACTATTACATTTAATAGATATTGATTCACCTTTCAGCTCCCTTCCTTGAGACATTCCATTCACCTCGTTTTCCTATTTTCCAGTGTTGCTACTAATGAGAAAATTAATTATTATCATGCCACCAGCTTTTTGACCGTGAGACGTGTACATACACGTACCTCCTGGCTGATGCCATCACAAAGGATGCGGTTCTCATTGATCCTGTCATTGAACTGGCCGAGAGAGACGCCACCTTGGTCAAGGAGCTGGGACTCAACCTAAAATACGTCAGTAAGTGTATCTCTAAATGTTTTATATTGACAAACTCGGCGAGAATTTTAAGTTGTCGGTGTGTATAAGAAAAAAATATGAAATTACATTTTATACATAGAAATCTAAGACCATTTTTCTCAACCGCTATGGGAAACAATAATGAAAGCATTGATATGAGATTCAAATAATTTCAAATTTTATTTTTCTGACAGGCTACTCATACTTAGATTATAATTTACCTTTCTGAATTTTTATACTGTACCTCTAATGGTCTCAAATGAGGACAGGAAACCAGCAGCTTGTCAGTCCTCATATTATTCCTGAATTTTTTTTTCCACAATTCAAAATTGAACTGTTCAAAATTCCTCCCCCTCCCCCCTCAGGAGAAATGGGGTGTGGTGGACTTTTGGTAGGCCGCCAGCTTCCGACACTAGACATAGTGGCCCCTCGGGTAAATTCAATTAAATATGTAATTTTGAAAGCAAGGTCTCCATGTTTGGATACAATGGTTCAGATAAGGGCCCAACAGAGATTTGTACATCTGAATAACCCTCTTTTCCTTTGTTCATTTGATCGTTCCCAAGGTTTCCTTCTCAGCTTACGACATATCCTAGTTGTTGAGCAGCTTTCAGTGACTGGTGGATCATAACTCCTCGATCCGGTCATTTTCTTTTGTAATGAATCTGACGTAAGACAGTCGCCACTATAATTTTATCATTACTCTTCATCCCTGACAGTGAACACCCACGTCCATGCTGACCACATCACGGGCACCGGCCTACTGAAGAAACTTGTTCCTGGCTGCAAGTCTCTCATTGCCAAGGTAGCTTCTAAAATTAGCTATTGAATAGAATTAATCCACAAGGGCCGTGACGAGGATTCGAACCTGCGTCCGGGAGCATCCCAGATACTGCCTTAATCGACTGAGCTTTGTTCATTTGATGCATCACGTTAGTGGGATCTCTGTGTGTATTGAATAGAATTCTTCATCGAGAATTTAATCAAAACACTCCATATAAAATTAAAGGTTTATTTAAATTTCAAGAAGTTATTGATAAATAAAACTACAGTAGTGTACCAATTTATTGGTATTTGTGGCAGCTTCCTATTTTTGCTGTATCGGTTTCGATAAAATTTCAGCCCATATTTCGATATTTATTATACAATTGAATCACTACCTTATCACTTATTACTTATTCCAAGGGTTTGTTTAGCTTTTCCTGACTGCTGCTCCCACCTGTTATGCAACTTTCAGCGAGTGGTGGATTTTGACCCCAAGGTCCTCTCCTTCGTCAATCTGCTGCACTGTAATGTTATAATTTGGTAGTTGTGGCGTGGGTGGCTATGTCCCACAAGCAAGGTCTTGCATTTGTCAATATTAAATAATGATATCTTGAGATGAGATGATTTCGAGGCTTTTCTTTTAGTGTCCCCGCGGCCCGGTCAACGACCAGGCCGCGATAATATAATAATAATAATAATTTATTTGCAAGAAGGTACAATGGGTTGGTGAGATTACATAAGATTAGTATTTTTACGTTCATGTAAAGCCACTAACACGCATAGCGTTTCGGGCAGGTCTTTAATCTAACATATCAGATAAGATGAAAGGATACATTGTAACAAGGTTTTCATATCAACAATTAACTACAATATAAGTTGACATCGGTGATTACACTGGTAAGGATATATGTCTTAAGTAGTAATATTGGGGAAGTGGGTAGTACAAGATGCAGTGAGAGTTTGAAGCACAAGGTAGGAAATTCTGATGAAGAAATTAGGTACTTTTTTATTTTACTTTTGAACAGGGGATGGGTTGGACAATTTTTTTAATTCATAAGGGAGTCAGTTCCAAAGACTGGGCCCTTTTATTTTCATAAGTGTTTGCACAGAATTAGTCTGACTGGGGATATCAGATATATTTATTTCTGGAGTGCTGCTCATGGGTTCTATTAAAAAAAGTTTCAGATCAAGATTAGCATTTAGGAATAAGGTTTTGTACATGTAGATAGTACATGAGTGTGTGAAGTGAGTGTATGTTTAGCATGTTAAGGGACTTAAATAGAGGGGGCTGTGTGTTGCCTGAAGAGAGAGTTTGTTATAGTTCTGATAGCAGATTTTTGCTGAGTGATGATAAGGTTGAGGTAATTTGAAGTGGTTGAACTCCATGCACAGATACCGTATCTAAGATAGGGATCGATTAGTGTGTAGTATAATGAGAGGAGAGCAGAGTGGGGAACACACACTGATTTTAGAAAGTATACCGACCGTTTTTGAGACGTTTTTTGGCTATGTGTTATATGTGGGTGCTGAAGTTCAGTCTCTTGTCTATGTAACGTCTCATTTTTATTGGTAATGTTAACATTGTCTATTTGAATTTGAAGTTGAATCTGATTTGATGATTTACTACCAAATAGAATGTAGGTCTTTTTCTATGTTTAAGAGTAAGTTTGTTGCTTGACATCCACGAGTGGATTTTTTTTTAATTCACTGTTGACAATATTTTTTTTTAGTTTGTGGGGGTTGGGGTCAGATTAGATGAAGGTAGTATCGTCAGCAAATAGTATATGTTCAAGAATGTTAGACATTTGGCAAATCATTGATGTATATAAGAAATAGGAGAGGTTCCGAGATGCTGCCCTGTGGCACTTCTAGTGTCAATGGTAGAGTGGGGACATTCGCCCTCCTGGGCTAAGGTATGCTGAACTCTGTAATTACTATATGAGTACTGGAACACTTGATGATATATTGGACTTGTATCCAAGATTGACCATGTAATATATCAATCATACAATGTATATATATGATGTAACTATATAACCTGAGCTTGTAAAAGCACCTTCATCACCTTCAGTGATTAAGTGCTTAATTGCACACTAGTTTCTTTATCAGCTATCTCACCCTGTCAGAGTAAATGAGACAAATGTATGTGAATGCATGTGTGTGTGTATATATGTATGTATATGTATGGGTATAAAGTATATATAGAAGCTGATCAGAATTACATTTCACCTTTGTGAATGTACATTAATGACACTATGTAAAAGACACATCAAACACTTTATGTAGGGCATACGTAAATCTGTGTATCTATGTATTTACGTATGTAGGTTAGCTTAGCATTTTAAAAGCACCGAATCACCTTCTGTGGTTGAGTGTTCAATAAACCCTTGAACTGTATGTTTAACACTTCTCTAACGCTGTCCATGGAGGACAGAAGAAAATGTATATATGCTGGTTAGCATTGTAAATGTGTGGCCACGTCTGTGGTAGAAAATAATAAAAAAAAAATGGTAGAATGGGGGAAGTTATGCTATTGATGACTACATATTGGTGTCTGTCACTGAAATAGGAACGAATATAGTCCAGAGCAAGGCCTCGAATACACGTAAAAAATTTATAGATCATATAGATATTAAATATTGTCGATAATTAAACATGGTCGCTAGTCGAGTTGATATCTCATAAGTCAACATGGTTCGTCAGTATCAATGCTCACCAGCAATGTTTTACAATATAACGAAACAAGAGTTTTATGCTTAAATGATACCGAATCTGATCCCTTTGTTGCACTCTTTCAGGTGTCAGGAGGTATTGCTGATGTTCTTGTCGAAGACGGCGACATAGTAACCTTTGGCAATCAGAAACTGGAAGTTCGAAGTACACCAGGCCACACAAATGGTTAGTTTAAACAACAACTTGCATAACATTATCTAAGTGACCATAAGAGCATACGAATAAAGATCCTATTGGCCGATGCAAGGCAGCTATTTACACCCCCCCCCCCCCGACTCATTCTTATACAGCATGTCTAATTAGTCGCTTGCAACAATTCAGTGCCCCTCACATGTAAAACAAAGCCTACGTAATAAAATGAATTCTCAGGTTGTAGCACGTACGTGAGCCATGCTGGGAAGTTCGCTATGACTGGTGACGCCTTGCTGATCCGAGGGTGCGGGAGGACGGACTTCCAGGAGGGCTCGGCAGAGACCCTCTACCAGTCTGTCCACTCGCAGATCCTCAGTCTGCCCAATGAATTCTCACTTTATCCAGCCCATGATTATAAAGGTATTTGTGAACGTTTATATTTTAAATCTGCCTGTAGTGTGTGATTTAATATGCCGACTTTGCATTCAGAAATTATAGTACTTATAGCAACTTTGAGTAGAATGTAATATAAATTTACTAGCACAGAAGAAAGTTTTGTATTAATTTTGTAAAGGGCACGAGAAAGAAGCCAATAACCAAATCTAAGCTTTCCTAGGCTTAGTATACTATATATGTGTACTAAATTAGGCCTGAGTTGGCGTATATATATATAAGGCCAAATACAGAATCGTTATATATCAGTGTTCTAGTTTTTGTTCCTAATGTAGTTCAATAATATAAAATTAAACGTTTTTTTGGGGCCTACAACAGTCAACATGTGTCAGTTCTGTCATACCTATACGTACTGTCACATTTTTTTAGGATGAGCTGTATATGCAGCTGTTTGTACTTAGTGGTATTTCATTACCTATGAAATTCACCTTAGTGGTAACTAATAGAAGTGACACAATAGAAATATATATGTATACTTTTGGAAAGTAAGCTTTCATCGCCCTTAATGTTGTTCTTGTATTCTTCATTTTTAATTATTTCGAATGTACTTCCTCAGGATGCAACCCACAACAGTTGCCTAATTTATTGGTGCCTATTTATTGCTAGGTAAACATCAGCTTATACACTCTTCGAACCATTCATCACACTAGTCGTATTTTCTTTAATAGATAAAAAAATATAAAATGAACTAGCAGCTACAGCAGCTAGAACAATAGCTATATAAACATGCTCCATCAACCTGAAATCCATTCCATATTTTCGTAACTATTCATTTGATTCTTTCCAGTTACTTATCCACCTGTCTAATTTTATCAGTATATTCAATTATATAAATTAATATAGTAATCAATTATATTCATTAAACTTCAGCATAATTAATTTTATATTGCATTAAAAGGGGCTCGAACTGTTAATTGCGTCAAATATCTAAATGTAGACTATATTAATATGTAACAATAAAAGGAATATGGGAAATAATTTACAGTTGTAGACCCTCTGGTATTTCCATAATTTAATTGTTTATAAATATATATATATAACCACTTAAACGAAACTGACAATTTTAGTTATGTACCAGAATTTGTTTTTAAATAATAACTTCATTGTGATACCGTACAGGGCAAACAGTGACTACTGTAGCAGAGGAGAAGGTGTACAATCCACGGCTTACTAAACCCTTAGAAGAGTTTGTGGATATCATGAACAACCTTGGCTTGGCTTACCCAAAGAAAATCGGTAAGAGCAAAAACTGTGTATTTAAGTGCACCTCAATGTATAATTATACAGATTATATTAAAAGTTAATGGTAGATGATATCTTGTAATGTTATACAAAATTCAAATTTTTTTCATTATAAACAGATATGCACAAAAACCTGTTTAAAATTTCTGCTTTCAGGAAACTTTAAATGTAAAGAAATCTCAAATGTACATTCAGGAAGTACTGTACAGTGACAGTCATTCAAATTAAGTTTTTTACACATATCTATAATTGGAAATGTCTGTCTGTCCGAGGTTAGAGGCCAGACACTTTGGACTAGCTTCACCCATTTTTTCCCAGTTATTGCTGTTGGGTACATGCCTAACATCGAAGGGTCGTGCAAACATAACCCTATGAAATATCTCGCATACTATAATGACTCTACTGATTTATTACTTTTGCTCTATCATAAACTTTGTGCTGATCATGCCAAAATTTAAAAAAAATCTTATTTAAACCACCCAAAAAAGTTAGATGTTGTTTTCCTTACACTTTATGTACCGTGTGTTGATGTCTAATCCATAAATTGACTACAAAGTGTTCTTACTATGTTATTAATATTGTAGTAGAGGAGAAGAGAGGGGAGGGTGGGGGTGGGGGGTGTAAGAGTTGCGACGATGCTTGAAAGGTCCCAAAGCTGTAAATCACAATAAACACACAAACTTCTCAAGGATTCGAACTTGGACAGCTGGGGCTCACCCCACTGCCCACCCGGTATTAATCACTCCACCATGGATTTCTACAGACATCATTATTACATACAATCATATGAACGATTTAGAGGATTTTGATCCAGAAAGCTTTGTTAAAACGTCAGATGTAACACATATAAGGAACAAAGGTTTAAAGCTCAACAAACCACAATGTAGGACAGAAAACAAGACATGATTTTTACCCATAGGGTTATAAACCCACAGATCCACCTACCCACTGAAACCTTAAATGCTAAAACACTACTGAATTTCAAAATCCAGCTTGATAAAATAGACAAATGGGGAACCTTTGACAAGCCGCCGGCTTAATCCTTCTCAAGGCCACTAGAGAGATAGTAGCCCTCGGGTAAATTCAGGTAAATTAAACTTGCGCTTCTGTAGTTTTCTGACGGCTACCTCCCTAGTGCAACAGTGTAAAACAATTATGAAAATAGTCTCAATGAATTTATTGGGGAAATTACAGAGTTAAGGGGAATAGCATAAAATTGTAGGTGCTATAGTTTGGTCATGGTAGTACCCAAACAAAAAAAAATCGAAATTAAAAAAAAAATCGTAAGCTCACTGCAGAGCAAAGGTAAAGGTGCCTTCTGTAATCAGACAATATAGAGATGTTGAGATTCATTCAGAATAAATATTCTTTTGTTTTAATTTTCGTTTCCAAAAGACAATTCTATAATGTTTGTTTTTCTTTCTTACAGATATCTCTCTGCCAGCCAACAAAGTGTGTGGGTTATATAACCTTCCAGAAGACTTGGCTGCAAAACTTGAAGATAAAAAATAAAATAAAAATTTTGCTTCAGAAATAGTTTACATTTAAAAATAAAAAACAGTGTTTTATATATGAGATACAGAGGAACAGATTACAGTGGTTACTTAGTAGGTTTATTATTTATATATTTTATAAAGCCACTAAATTATAATATATCATTTATAAAGGGACATTTAATGGTGGCAAGTATAGACTATTTTAGATTATGTAGCTTTTTAGGTAACTATAAATACAGTAGATACAATATTTGATATTAACAGCCAAAAAATTGTCTTATTTAGGGTATAGAAATGTTAGAATTATGCTATATTTTTTGAGTCGCAACAAAAATTATGTACCTGTACTGTACTGTGATCATTTGCTGATGTAACAGTTGTGTACTATAATCATGCATTGATGTAACAGTGAATACTGTCTTCATTCACTGATATAATAAATGACAGGTACAAAAATGTTCTTTATTAAAGAAATACCTATAATATAATTAATACACTAGGAAATCATAACTGCATGAAATAATTGGAGCAATCTGGTGATTCGAACCAGCGTTCTGGCTACAGTGACCCAGAACGTTGGATCAAATCCAACGCTCCAAAGGATTTTTTGCAATAAATTTTAGTTGCTCCCAAATGTCATAACAAGCACCAAGTTTAGTTTGTAATAGAAAATTAAAGATTCCGTGTTGTGCAGAAAATTGATTTAAACACAGTTTTGTGATACAGGAGATTTCGTAGGCCCACAGGTCGCATAAATCAGTTCAAAGCAGACAAAGTTAATAAGATAATGATAAAGAGTTACCTCGTTTATCTCGCAGAGTAGAAAATAATGTTAGGTACTTTTCCTATTACCTGATGCGTCTGCTCATCATGCAATAAACAGGTACTCTAGAGTTAGGCAACTGTTGTGGGTTGCATCCTGGTAGAAAGACATAAGGGGATCTGAACACAAGCTTAGTGGGGACTTAGTGTCCCCACTAATTATAAGTCCCCACAATATAAGTGGGTATGGAAATATGACTGTGATGTGTCGAACGGCACATTGGGAGTTTTTTGGGCGAAGGGTAGAAATCAAGCGCAAGGAGTTAGGCTTTTGTATTCTACTGTAAGCGGGTGGCGCGTGAGTCAGGAGTCTCGGCAGTTACAGCCCCGCTCCTGTGCCAGGTAAGTCCACTACGGGCTCACCATAGCCCGTACTACAGCCCTACTCCTGTACCAGGTAAGTCCACTACGGGCTCACCATAGCCCGTGCTACAGCCTCGCTCCTGTTCCAGGTAAGTCCACTACGGGCTCACCATAGCCCGTGCTACAGCCTCGCTCCTGTTCCAGGTAAGTCCACTGCGGGCTCACCATAGCCCGTGCTACAGCCGGCTCCTGTGCCAGGTAAGTCCACTACGGGCTCACCATAGCCCGTGCTACTTGGAACGTTTTGTTCTGAGTAGCTGAATCTAAAATCTCTTCCCAGTTCACACACTCATGGCGCGCGTTCAAACCACTCGACGCTCCTCCTGGCACTACAATAAATTCCAGCAGCTTCAGTTGCAAATTACTAGCAACTGGCAGTTGCAAATATTTTATTTAAATTAAGAAAAATTTATATCGCCTATGTTCACCCTCACAAACAAAAAATCTTGTTTTTAGTCTATCATCAATGTTGAACAATCTTCTGTAAAATATTCAAATTACAAATTTAACAACATGCTTAGTAAAGCTCATAATCGCACTAAAACCTAGATAACCATGGGACTAAAAGACCTTATTGGAAAAAGACTATATATACTAACGAACTAAGAAAAGGAAGTCTAGCTGTCTATAAAAAAAATCAAACTTTATAATATTAAAAACAGGTAATGCTAAAAAAAATATGAAGACTGTAAAGTAGGGCAAAAAAATACAAATCCTACGGGCTTTTTTTGTAGTATTAAAAAAATTAGAGTGGGGGCTGGGTTAGACAGTTTTAAGCTGCCTCTTAAGGTCCAATAGGCCTTCTGTTTATTCCTGTGTTCTGTCGCTGACGATCTTGCTTCTTGCAAGTCGGCTTTTAATATCCGATGGTCAAAGTGGTTGGGCATTGTTCCTTTCCTTCGTCCCATGCTAAATCCTTATTTTCACATCCATTCCACGAGCTATATAATCATTACAATTAACTGGTTCAACCTTGACGTCTGGACGCCTCCTTTGCCTGGGAGCCACTGGATCACGTTCTGTTTCGCGATTTTGGATTTGATACTACCGTTTGGCATTCCTATTCAACGGCCCGGTTTGTTTAGACGTTTGGTGCACATATCGCCTTGGGTCACAGGATTCTTGATAGATTTTGAACGTTTTATGGCTGGTTCTCCCGGCGTGGTGTCGGTATCCGGCGCCGGCTTGGCTGAGAGGTACTGGGAGTTGGCGGGTCTTGGTGGACTCCATGTGCTCTCAGCTGATTTTTGTGCATTCAGCCGACGGATGACTTTTGCGTTTTAGTTGGGGGACGAGTTTTTGGTTTTGGTACCCAGTGTTCTCTGTGTAGAGCGGGGCCGGTGCTTGTTACCCTGAGGGACTCCTGGCGCTCCCCAATCATCTGCCAGTCTGTGAGTTTATTTTCCGCGAGGCATTTCAGTTTCTGGTGATACACGTCATTCGTTTCACCGTTCGGCTTTGCGATTATAACCCTTTACCGGTACGCCGGGGCGCATCCGATCCCACGATTGTCGTCGCCTCTGAATTCACAGCGATCATCATCATTACAATGAATTGTAAAGGATTAATACTTTATCCTGATGATTCCCTTACCATTACTTCATATGTTCTGTAATTTGAGATATATATTGTGAGCACAAGTCACTATAAGAAGATCAAAAGTGAAACTTGCTGACCAATACAAGTGGTAAGCAATACTTGCATACCACTTTAGTGAAAACAACTGAAAAAAATAGAATCAATATGCTCAACAAGCCATAAAAAAAGGACAAAAAACAAGAGATGATTTTTCAGAGGACAATACTTTAGTTTAAAATGCCAGGACAATACTTTAGTTTAAAATTTAACTGATAAATTCTTCAAGAATAATGGTGGGACCTTTGAGAACCTAGAGGCTTCCTCTCCCCGTCGAGGCCACAACAGATGATGGCCCTTAAATAAATTCAAGTAAAACACTACCTCTTAGAACATCCTTTAGTTTCCCCTTCCAAGTCGACCCCTCCAACCAACACAGAAAATGAAACGTTTCACCCTGCACTAATGTAAACTTATGGACCTTTCACTTATCGTCAACTTGAAATGGCAAAGCATTTTATTGTAAATTATAAAATGCCTGAAATATTTATCCTGTATCCATATTTCGCCCTTGAATTAGTATTAGGGTCAATAAATAACCTAGTAATTTATCTAGTAGATAAATTATATATGTTTGTAGAAATATTATTATTACAGTCTCCGTGGTGTTAGTGGTAAGACACTCGCCTGGCGTTCCGCGAGCGCTATGTCATGGGTTCGTATCCTGGCCGGGGAGGATTTACTGGGCGCAATTCCTTAACTGTAGCCTCTGTTTAACGCAACAGTAAAATGTGTACTTGGATGAAAAAACGATTCTTCGCGGCAGGGGATCGTATTCCAGGGACCATAGGATTAAGGACTTGCCCGAAACGCTACGCGTACTAGTGGCTGTACAAGAATGTAACAACTCTTGTATATATCTCAAAAAAAAAAATTAATCAATATTAATATTATTATGCCTTGCTGTATTTACTTTATTTATATTTATTTATTTATATACAAGAAGGTACATTGGGTTTGTGAGGATACATAGCATATTATTTACATTCTTGTAAAGCCACTAGTACGCGTAGAATTTCGGGCAGGTCCTTAATCTAACAGATAATTTTAAATAGGTAAATTCTAGCAGAATTAATAAAATGATAACAGATACATTGCAAGAAAAAATGAGATGAGAAAGATTAGTAGGTATATTAAAGCACATTGGTACCTCTGATTGATTGCACTGACAGTTAGTTTAGTTCATTTATTATGCACCCCATACCCATCTTGTGGGCGGTAGTGGAAAGGGTTACAGAGGCACATAATGAGCTCAGGGACTGGCAGCTTGATTGGTAATTTAAACAAAGATTAATAGGCACCATACAGCAAATTGATAGCACATATAAGAAGACAGCAATGATCAGAATGGTAAGGTTGTTTGGATTAGGTACATAAAGATTGGGAGATTGGGTAGCACTAGATACAGTGCAATTTTAAAGCAACAAGGTTGGAAACTATGAAGATGAAATTAGGTACTTTTTAGTTTTGTTCTTGAATGAGGCAAAAGTTGGACAGATTTTCAATTCATTAGGGAGTGAGTTCCATAGACTAGGTCCCTTTATTTGCATAGAGTGTTTACACAGATTTTGACTCTGGGAATATCAAAGAGATATTTATTTCTGGTGTGGTGATAATGGGTTCTATTACATCTGTCCAGGGAGAGTTTCAGCTTGCAAGTTTCTTGCAAGCTTCTTGTAAGGGCGGGCTGCGTATGTGACAGCCCGTCCTCCAGACAAAGAACCAAAAGTGATTCCATGCACCCGCCAAACCCCCCTGTTTATGAATGAAAAACGGTTTACACACGACTCACAACTGATGACGTTCGAACACTTCCGGAACAACGGCTTCACTGACGAATTTTGTTCGAACCACAACGCTATAAATGCTCAGCCCGTCCTCCAAACAAAGATCCAAAAGTGATTCCATGCACCTGCCAAACCCCCTGTTTATAAATGAAAAGCGGTTTACACACGACTCACAACTGCTGACGTTCGAACATATCCGGAACAAGTGTTTCACTGACGAATTTTGTTCGAACCACAACGCTATAAATGCTTCACCCACGTACTACAAATGCAAATAATCGCCAACAGAACCTAAACACCTAACCTAACCTATGCCTATATATACACAATATGTTAATATATTATAATATTAATTTATACTTGAGAAAATTCTCGTTTTGAATGAACAGCATGTTAAAATTTATGAATGCGTCTGTGGGGTTGACCGTTGAATGTAATGGACTTAAGTCGAGGACGGGTTGCAGCAAATGCTTCACCCACGTACTACAAATGCAAATAATCGCCAACAGAACCTAAACACCTGACCTAACCTAACCTATGCCTATTTATACACAATATGCTAATATATTATAATATTAATTTATACTTGAGAAAATTCCTGTTTTGAATGAACAGTAACTTAAAATTGATGAATGTGTCTGTGGGGAAGACCGCTGGATGTAATGGACTTGAGTCGAGGACGGGTTTAGCTCTTTACCTCAAAGCCAGTTGGGCAAAAACGTCTTCCAGTGACCTCCGACGGAACAAGAGCCAGCCGCTCACCACAACCTGGGGTCACACCAAGAGCTCGCCGCCAAGTTCCGGCACCTCTTAGAAAATCTGGCGCCATACACAGTTACCCTGCTCAAAGATCCAACCGGAATCGGAAAAAAATCTATCATCTTCCCCGTGACCTCTAGGCGACATGTGTTGCATCAATCTAAGACGTTGGCGAGGAATGTCTAAAAGCAATATCGAGACCCAGTCAGTGATCACAACGCGTCACGTATTCCTGTAGTCCCCAGCAAAACTGAGGGTTAAATCAGGAGTCCTATGTAAACTTGTAAGACAATTGTATTGCTGTTATGCGAATACAAAGTACTGTATATGCACTGTTTGCAGTTACCCCTGAAAATGTAACTCTCAACACATTATCTTATTAACTTATGACCTAAACTCTGTAAATAATTATATATAGTGGCTTTATAAAATACACAAGTACTGCACCTACGAATTAACCACTGAAAGCTAATTCTTTATAGATCTTATAAATAAAATAGTAATAACAATAATAATAATGTTTTTTAGGAGATTCTGAAACTATTTGTGAGCATCAATTATATATTAGTTAAAATTAATGTAACAATATTCTTTATCTATTTTAAGGAGCTGACTTTGAATCACAGGAAATAACTCCTGTGTTTTTCAGTTTATCAGGTGGAAGTAGAGCCTATGATTTGTGTTGGAAGGTACAGCAGAAGGTCCACCGGTATATGCTTGCTTAGTTGTACTCCTGAATTGTTTGATTTTTTGTTTTTCCATGCAAATGTCATTATTTTCCTGCATAGGTGCATGCTGGGGTTGGCTTTCTTTCTTGCTGTAGCTTTTTCTCACATTTTGTTTGAGAAAGTCCCTTCTCTATATAGGGCATCAGTTTTTCTACCCTTGACCGAAAATGTGATGGTTGTCCAATCCATGGACTCCACCCCCCTCAATATAAAATCAATCAAATGTTTATTCAGGTAAAAGTACATACATACAAAATGAGTTACATACAGAATGTTGGATTGATACATACAGTGCCTAAAACCACTAATACACACAGCGTTTCGGGTAAGGTGTGTGAAAAAAACATTTAGACTAAAACTTAATACTAATTTAGATCAAAGCATAGAGTTGAAAAAGGAAAAAAAAACATGGTGGAAATCAGCTGATATACAAGTTGGTCAACAGACAGTATTGTTTGTAAATAGAAAGACATGGGTTGCCATTAAGGGGGTAAGGTAGGTTACATGGAGTTTATTAGGTAGTACTTAGTTTCTCTTAAACTCCCTGAGAGAGGTACAGTCTTTGACGTGATTGGAAAAGTCATTCCACATTCTGGGGGCGATCCGGAGCTTGCGGAAAATTAACGCACAGATAAAGCATGAATCCACATTCTGGGTCTCTTGATTTGCAGAGCATATCATTATTTATTTATATAAAGAAGGTACATTGGGTTTATGAGAGTACAGAGACTTGAAGTTTTACATTCTTGTAAAGCCACTAGCACGTATGGCGTTTCGGGCAAATCCTTAATCTAACATATAATCTTAAGAAGTTAATTTCTAGCCAAATTAAAAAAAAAATTACAGGAACATTGTAAGAAAGTATAAAAAATACATTGTATAAGAAATTTGCAAAAAAATAGGTAAATTTTAATTAATATTGGGGAATTGGGTAGCACTAGATACAGTGCGAGTTTCAATCACTAGGTAGGAAACTATGAAGATGAAATTAGGTACTTTTTGTTTTATTTTTGAATGAGGCAAAAGTTCGACAGCTTTTCAATTCGTTAGGAAGCGAGTTCCATAGACCAGCAAGTCCCTTTATTTGCCTAGTGTTTTCGCAGATTAAGTTTGACTCTGGGGATATCAAAGAAATATTTATTTCTGGTGTGGTGATTGTGTTCTATTATATCTGTCCAAGAAGAGTTTCAGAATAAGGTTTGCATTCAGAATAAGATTCTGAAACAACCTGCCCCTCCCCTTAAGAACAGGGTTTTGTAAATGTAATTGGCACAAGAGAATGTCCTCCTGCTCATGATGCCCGGCATGCTCCTTCTCCCACACCACTTCTATAACCGCCACACCTCCCTCAACAACTACTGTCTACCCCTCACCTTCCTCCTCCTCCCCCACAAGTCCTGCCCGCCCCTCCTCACCAACTTTTGTCTGCCCCTCCCCCTCCATCATGAGGCACGGACTTGCTCCCTCCTCCCGCACCGCTCCTACAACCACCCCCACCTCCCTCAGCAATTTCTGTTTGCCACTCCTCCATTATGAAGCCCACCTTATTTCTTCTCCTCAACCTACATTTACCACCCATTACCCCTGCTACCCGTCCCTACAACATTACCCTAATACTACTACTACTACTACTATTACTACCCACCCCCGTCATCCCAATCCCATTAATCCCCCCCCCAAGCCCCCACCTCCCGACGGGCCACAGCTGCCTCAGTGTTGACAAAGCCTCACTGGTGTGCGGGTCGCGTCTCTTTCTGCTCTCTGTGTTTCATCAACTAAGGTGACGTGTCCCCTCACAATTTCATTTTTGTCATGCATGCATTCACGTGATTGAGGTAGCCAGGCGGCGTATTGACCTCTGTGTTTGTAATGTCGTTGTCAAGAACGCAGTTGACGAAGTCTGTTTCTGATGTTTTTTTTTTTCCTTCTAACATTTCGTTCATGAACTTGCATACGATTGGCCGGGTAGACTGTAGCCAAGGGCACAGTGCCCTGATGCCATACCCAAGAGCCAAGCACACCTCCCTTGCTAACATCTGGTACCACTTTAGTGGTGATTATTGATTAGCTGTTGACAGTGGACCCATAGTCAAGCCTCGGTGACTGACCTTGTTCAGTGGCATAGTGGCCTAACCACAACCAGCCTTACCGTGTGGCCGAACCACAGCCAGGTCCCACAGTGCACTGACCAAGGTCAACCCCCCTCGGTCGCCCTGACCCCTGACCAGCTACGTAGCTCCAGGAGGCAGCTGGGTGTTGACGCCCCACACTTATATTGGGCAACATGGACCATTATTACTGTGTTTCAGCAACAGGTGCAAATGTACTGTATGGTTTAGCAAGACAGCGTACGGTGGTAGTGTTCAATCTGGAGTTACCATTTGTGTATATTATTACATATTGTAGATTTAATTATTACATGTTATACATTTTCATATTGATCATTGCACAAAATTGACAGACCATTCTGTCACTGTACAATGTACAATACGTAATGTACATTACGTATTGTACATTGACAGACCATTCAGGCCTGATCAAGATGAGACAAGAATCCCTAAACCCTTAAAATCTTCATTGGAACCTTTGCTCTAGTGTTGTAGCATATTTGGTTTACTGATATACCATTTTTGAGTATAGGGTATTTTATAACCCTAAAATCCAGTTAGGGTTGTCAAAGTCCCCTAGTTAAGGATGAGGTTGTCAAGTGTCACCCATTTAGTTGATGGTAAGATCCAACAATGCTTAGCTTGACTAGGCAATATACACATCGTACACTTAGTATTGTCGTGGTATAAGGTAATACTTTATATAAAGTAAATATAATAATTAGGCCATAATGAAATCACAATTGAAAAGGTAATAAATCTTGCAGGACTTTTCCACAATAGTGAGTGGTGTAGTTGAGGGAGTTTCAAGTTGTAGTTGACCTACACTGCAAGGGACCTGCTTACCACTCACCAGCAGAACCCTGAATAACATTCAAATTCAAATGTTTAGTTAGATAAAAGTACATACATAGAAGATGAGTTACAAACATAATGTTGGATTTATAGCCAATTCAAAGCTGGCACATACAATGCCTAAGCCACTAATACGCACAGCGCTTCGGGCAATATCTTATTGTCTGATATGTAAATTAAATCTTTAAACACTGAATTCTAGTTTGCCATTGGGACTGTTTACACAACCAAATTGATGACCTCAGCCAGGATTCAAGCATTTGTGTCCACTTATGAAACCTGTACATCTTTCTGCAGTCATGGTGGCTAAGTTTAAATTAAATAGTTTGTAAAGAATTAAATTTGGCTAAGTAATTAAATAGTTTGAGCTTGGAAACATTGTGAAATTGTTCTTGACTATAGTTATTGTTATTAGACAACCTTGTAGTGCTTTGGAGCTAATAAACTTTAATAAATACAAACTAAGCCACCATGATTGAGGAAAGATGAACAGGTTTTGTACTGTAAGTGGACAGTTCAGTGCTTGAAGAATCTTGGCCTTCATTATTTACAACTACTGTACAGTGTGTACTGTACAATAGGTTCAGATTGTATGAAACATTATGCACAAAGTATCATGACTGTTATTCTACTTGAACCTACTGAAACTGTCATACTATACTCTACATAACTACTTTGTAGACTTTACCAGAGATCAGTTAACATAGACAAATTGAATGTCTTTGTGGTCAATACTGTACCAAATAAACGTGGTCATACTGTACCACAGAAATGCCGAGTCCTACACTGCAAGGGCATATCAGGAGATGGAGAAAGATAAATCTTTAGTAAAAAAACCAGGGATATATTATAGTTATCTGATAGTAAACACAGACCTGCCTCCCTCCATATGCCAAAGTCGTGAAGCAAACATTTCCATGTGCAGAATGGCCTCTGGTATTGGTAGCATTTCTCATAGATTTGCTGGCATTTTAGCAAATATTTTGCATAAATTAGGTACTGTACAGTACTATTAGCAATGCATATTTTAACTACAGTATTTCATTGTGGCACTTCAGTTTCTACCTCAGTTCCTATGGGTCAATTCTGGGTTTAAATCCAGGGCAGGTCAAAAATGATTGGATGTATTTCCTATCACCTAATAGACTTGCTCACCTAGCAGTCAATAGGTACCCAGGAGTTAATCAGCTTGTTGTGGGGTTGCATCCTGGGAAGGGCCAGTAGTTTGACATGTTTCAAAGAAAGAAACGTAATATACAGGTTGGCTGTTAAGACAATTCTTACATAGCTTGTAGTTTTTCTTTGCTTCTCTCCCTTTCAGTAGACACACTGATGTCAGTGTAGAACATACTATGCAATTAGGTTTGTGCTTCTTACTGGCATTTGTCTTCCATTCCTTGTGCCTCCTTCCATGCCTTACCAAATCTTTTGGACATAAAAGTGTCAAGAACCAATTGTATTATAGTCGGTAACACATTTTGGTATATACTGTAGTCCATGAATCATCTTTACTGTGAAATAAATTTGGTTTAATTTATTGAGATGGTGCTACATAGCCTTCTCAGTTTGGTACCTTCCTTTGATAATTACTAATTTATTAAGTTTGAATCAAGCAATGCCACATCAATTGAAAGGGTAGGCTGAGGATGGCAGTTTCTAGTTCCTTTGCTTTGAGTTTGCCTAATTTATATATAGGTTTACTGCTTCTCCCAGATTTTGACAGCATTGATCTTGCCAGGTAGGTACAGGATAATATGATTTTGTCCTCAACATGCCCTATCATTGGCAGCTTGGCTCCTGTTTTTGTTTACAACTCCTGCTCCCTGAAATCAATCCAGTTCTGTTGACACTTGAAGTACCAGGTGTGGCCATGTTTACTGCCCTCCACATATTGTACAGGTAACTATTATAATAATTATCTTTAAGCACGTACAGATATAGGCCATATTTTCAAATCCTGTGAAGTTCTCTTACAACTTTGTATCCTGAAGGGACCTGCTTATCAGCAGTTGTACCCTCCTTACTTGCACCCAGTATGTACTTTGAACTTGAGTAGGTGAGATATCCTATCCCTGAGCATTCCAAGTATATACTCTGTGAGGAAAAACTCAGTTATGATCTCACCCTACATGAGTGTCCAGTCATTAGACCATTCTGACCTGCCAGTATGAGGTTCCTGGAGCTTTGTAATTACTTTATTCACTCTTGTGTTGTAGATGGTATCTTCATAATTCATCCAAAGTTTACAAGTGCAGGCTACTGATCATATGTACAGTATCTGTATGACTAACCATCATGCGAGATTGGAATTTCTTAGTACATACTGTACTGTATTTCATAGTTAACTCTCGATACTATGTAACCCTTCATATAGTCTATTGTAAAATCCACTACTGTACTTGGCACCATAGCTATTGTAAAGTCCACTACTTGGCACCATAGCCCGTGCTACTTGGAACGTTTGTTCCAAGTTGCTGAATCAAAAACAAAGTCTAGTGTAGTTATGTTACTGCATAAGTACCTAAATACAATGATAAAAAATGACACTCAAGGACTAGATCTTTATTCCCTGCATATTTAAGGATTTTGAAGGCTGGTAGCTTCTGAAGAAATACCTGCCTTTAAATTTGATAATTTTTTAGTCAACAGAAAATTACTTGTGAAACTACATATTTTAGCATACAGGTGTTAAATTAATCTTATTTTGTACAATCCTTAGTCATCATTATTGACAAAATGTAGAAATGTATGCATCAACTGGTAAGCCTTCCTATCCAGGGAAAAAATAATGGCAAAACCAGGTGTGTTGAACAAAATAGTCACTAAAAGTCAGCCTTGAAATCCATTATACACTTGTGAACTATATCACTCATATTTCACAAACTACTAATATTTTTATTTCTTTCATTGAAACTGACATAACTTTGGTGCAGGCAATCCTCATTTTAAAAGCAGCATATGTTCTGAAAAAATGTTTAAGTCAGTTGTTTGGAATTCGGTACCAGATATCCCATAGGAGCAATGCAATAAATTTAGGATGTGTTAGTATAAACAAACATAGCATATTAACTGCCTTCAGCGAGGAAGTTATTCTGCTTATCATGGTTGGCTGATTTTGAAGAGTGAAGAGATTTAATTACTGTACTGGAGGAGGCAGCAGTAGCATTAGTAGCTTTTTGATGTCACAAATAATGAGACCTTTTTCTTTTTATTGTTGATTTTAGTGGCGTAGAACCCTTCACATTCTCTAAAAATTTTGTTTTGTCTCTCATAATAGTCCCAATTGTAAAGTGGGTTCATGCCATAAACTTGTGCAATCTGTGTACAGTATTTTTTCCTTCTTGGATCAAGGAAGAAATACAGACTGAGACGAGGCTAGAGATTAATTATCCCTAGCATTGTCTCAAGGGTAATGCTCACTTGTTCCTAAGCATTGATGCATCACTAACACTTCCTCTTCTTCTTAGCTATTATTTATGCTTTCATTGATAAGTAATTTAAATAGTCTACAAATTGCAAGGGGGTCAGCACTGGACACAATAATACTGCCATTTGGGGGAGAATGGGTTGATGTATTGCACTAGTGAGTCATGTAATGACTAAAATGCCCCACGTCTTCATGCGGATGTAATAGGTAGCACTGTTTGTATTACCTAGGATGGCAGTGGATTTGTGTAGTGGACTGATACACGAAATCGAGGACTTGGGAAGCCATTCGTAAGTCGGGAACTCCCTGTATTAAGGGTTTACCTATTATCTGATGGGTAAATTTTTTAAGGATACCTATTAGTTTCTTTAGCAACAATTTTATATATTG